GGGGATGAAACCTTCGGTTTCCGCGAGAAAGTGACGGTGCGGGCTGTGCTAAATTCGAATTGAAGCCGATTTAATTTATTGGGTTAATGTCCTTGCCCATCAACGGAAATGGCCGAATGATTTTCGATGCGATATACCTCCTGTCGGTTATACCCACTCCCTACAATCCAACCCCCAATCAATCCCCACCCCGCGACCGTTCGTTAATTTTCGGCAAAGCGCTTTAACTTCGTTACGCCTACGTATGCATGGATACACTGACGCGCTCGCTCGCCTCATATGTAAACCCTTAGATTCTATAGTAAATTAAATGTTTTGATAAATTTTTAGATAAACCAGACGATAATATAAGGTTTCGTGTTTATATCGATGACATAAACCGTATCCTTGGCTATTTTCAATTTTTAGTTAGTAGACGGGCTCGATCCTTATACGCTCGTACATAAGTAGATGTTCACTACTCTTTGTCACGTATAAAAGATTGAAGCGATTGAAAAGCCATTTAGCATTGCAAAAGCAGTAATATAAAATCCATTTCAGCTGATTTATGTATAAATATTTATTGTGACAATACTCAATTTTTTCCACTTGTCTTGTTAAGGAAGAAAAACTTTGTAATATCAAAATAAAAAACTTCGAAGTTATGCTCCATTTTAGATGAACTTTAAAACAAATTATTTAAATATGAAAAATATAACGCAACACGCTCATTTTATTTATACGAGTTTCAGCAATTTTGGATATTCAATGAAGATGAATGACAATGTCAGTAGAAAGATTCGATTTTAAATTACTGGAGTTTATAAAACTCTTATTATAAAGGGGCATTGGTTTTCAAAGGCGCCTGTCTAATCCGATAATTTGAAATAAATCGAAGATTGATAAGCATATTTATTTTTTGTTTTTTTTTGTTTTTTTTTTGTTTTTTTTTTGTTTTTTTTTTGTTTTTTTTTTGTTTTTTTTTTGTTTTTTTTTTGTTTTTTTTTTGTTTTTTTTTTGTTTTTTTTTTTTTTTTTTTGTTTTTTTTTTTTTTTTTTTTTTTTTTTTTGTTTTTTTTTTTTTTTTTGTTTTTTTTTTTTGTTTTTTTTTTTGTAAAACATATTTTGTTCAATTATTTTAATACAGCTATTTGTTCAGGATTATTTAATTTTTGTCATTTTGATATTATTAATATTAATATTAACTTTTAGAATATTAATATTAATGGATCGAATGTAATAATGAAACTGATATTCCAAATAATTATGATGCTCGTCTCAATTATATTTGAATTAAAATATATGCCAATAGATCTTGTTAATACTAATGGGATAAGGGAAGCTAACTTCAATCGTTAGGACAAACTATCATCATTTATCGAGGACAATAGAGATTTCGCGATTGCCAAAATTTCATTTATTTCAACTTTTTCCATAAGAACAGCAGTTATTGGGTTTTTTTCTCTCGCTTTTTTTCCCATTTAACATTCAATAAGTCATTTGAATAAAACTTACCCTTCTATACTACTAGACGAGTCCACCACTACGAGTTACATGCGAAATATTGATATACACACATCACGTGCATATAAGCAGAACACGTACAAAAGATTAAAACGCGCGTTAAAGCAAAATAATTTATGTTATTATCAGAGCAAAAGCTAGAAAATTATTCAATTAAAATATTGTTGAAAAATATTGAACCTTTCTCAACTACCATCGTTTTATATTCATTTATTACCTCCTACAGTTTATACTTTCCTCGAAGCTTAATTTAAATTAAAAAAAAAAAAATTTAAATATAAGTATTTGAAATTCAAAATAATTAACAATTTATTTTTACAGTAACATAAATTAAAATTTCTATTTATATTAATTTAATAGTAATAAAACTACGAGAAGCATATAATTAATTAAACTATTTAAAGTATTATTATTAAATTATGCTTTACGAACCATAAATTTTACAATATTACACACAATATTACAATATTGTAATAAATACTTGAATACAAGCGATATTATAACTATGTATTGTTTTAAATTCTGTTTGGTAACTGAAAATACTTTATGTCCACCCGTTTATAATTTATGTCAGACACTATTTAAATTTGTTTTGTGGCTAAAGCTTAGCAAAGTCGTAGTATTTTCTTTTTGTGAGAACTTTTCGAAAAATTGAATAAATGTTATAATACATTTTCAAACAAAATATTTTTCTATTTGCATGTTATAATATTATATATTCTGTAATATTATATGTCTTTTACATTTGCTCTATATATATTCTTATTTTATTTATTTAATATATTGGAAATGATTGAGCATTTTTCAAATTACTCATTCTTTCTTTGTTCTTTATACTTCTTTATATACATATATATATATATATATATATATATATATATATATATATATTTATTTAGTAATGGCGAATGCATATCAATTGTGTTGAATGTAATTATAAATTTAACAATTGAATATTGTAAGGTTTCATTTAACGATTTTTTTTTTTTTTTAATTCATTTAATTTTGAAATATCCCACCAAAAATTATACAAAAAGCCTATTAAATACAAATGCAAGTGGATTCTTTTAAATTTTATAATAGACTGCTCTTAAAAAGCTCTAGTAGCTCAAATTCAATATTTAAATATATTATGTACTTTAAACTTTGTAATGTCCTGTTCCTTTAACAAATGAGATTTTATTATGAAATTATTATTGCGTATGTAAAGAATAATTAATTATTTATTTTCATAGTTGTCGAATGCATTTGTCATATTATGGTGCAAATAAAGTAGGTTCATTTTCTTAAGTATTATGGCATCAATCTCTTAAAAAATTTTTAATTCCTTACTGTGCATACATTAAATTTGATAGAATATTTTTAATATGCAAAATATTGAAAAAAATATAAATATAATTTAAAAGTTACTCTAACTATCAAAGTACTAACAAAAATAGACGAAGTACGTGAAATTAATTAAATATATTTATTTATGTATTGTTTTTGAATTTATGTACATTTCTACTATATAATTTATTATATATTTTCATGAACATTTAAAAATAAATAAAGTAGTTAAAATATGTATAACTCAATTTATTAGAAAACGTAAAAGTGATTTATATGCATTTGTAATACCTATTACAAACCAGCAAGATAATAGAATCTAAATCTGTAAAACTAATTTATTATATTATAATATTTCATACATAAATTCATACATAAAGATTTTTGTTAAAAATAAATAGTAAATTTGTTGTATATTATATTAAAAATTCTATTCTTTTTAGTAATTTTTTATATATTTTATAATCATACGTATTCATTCTTCTTATATATAATAATATTACGATTAATTTAAATCAGATGCATATTAATAAGCAATTCAATACTTTTTTCAAATATATAATTATGTTTTACTAAAAAATGTAAATTAATTACACATTATATTTCAGAATATTTTATAAATGTAAATTTCTTCCGAATATGAAAATCAATTTAAAATTTAAAAAATAAAATAGTACGTTATAATGTAAATGATAAAAAATTTTATATTTTCAAAATATTTTGTTTACGTTATAGTTCGATACTCAGAACTAATGTGAAATTTTGTTTGGAAAGTCTTTTGGAAAGAAGCTATCTAATTCCCATACATTAAATAAGCAATATTCTTATATAAATTGTTATATAACAATTACAATAATAACAATAATACATATTTAAGTTGAACCTTATTGAAGATAAATTTATATAAATAATTATTCTTCACCTAGTCTTTAAGAATTAATTCAGAATAGTTGTAAAGCCAAGTTCATGTGAAAAATGTTCTGACTCGTACTAGGGGGTAGATTAGGGTAATTTTATGTAACTTATCTGATCTGACTCATCATCCGGGACCGTAGATACGATAGCAAATGTACATGAGTCACTTTTTTCATGCCACATACTCGCTCTGAAGGTTAATTTTACGACATTTTCCCTTTTTGTAAGCCCCCCCCCCCCCTACACACGCACACACAAACCTAAAAGAAGCAAGAAATAAAAGAGAAGCCACTTGCGACTCCACTTCGCGACATTTGAAATAGAACGGAGTCTCTTATTTGAAAGCTTCAACCTAAGGAAAACAGAGTTTGAAAATGAAAGAGGAAGAATAAAATCTTCGATCATGAATATTCCTCTATAACTCTTGCCATCCAATGCATGTAAAGGTAGGCGGGCGCACATACACGCACTTATATATCAATGTTTGCACGTGTACAGTTGGTTACCACCCGAGTTGTTTTATCCATTTATAGCTTATATATAGGAGCGAGAAAGTATCCTGTGCTTTAAAACAAAATAACGTAGCAATAAATAAAGCGGAGAAGGCTTCATTTACTTTATAGTCTTTTCTTTTATCCTCTATTGTGCATTCCCTTGCTATTTTTTCTTTTTTCGCCCAACTATTTCGCACCACTGGCTATACAATAGTTGTCGCGCGGTCGCTTCAAAAGCACGCAAGTAGCCAAGAGTAAACAAATTTTAATTAAAGTCTCGCCAAGTAAAGTTGTCCTCTATCCTCGACCTCCCCCTTTCTCAAGCCTTGTCCTCCACTTCCGCCTCCTCCTTTCATACACCGTGACGCGTTTAAATGCACGGCTATGTACTAACGAAATTTCATTGGACGCTTTTGGTGATTTTTCCAGCAAGTAGCAGCGCTAAACCCAGGATACTCGTATCCAGCATCGTCCTTTTGATCGTCAGTCTGCTGTCATGGTAGTAAGGAGCGATGATTAAACGATACTACGTATCCTGCGGGCGTTCCAAATCTCAACAGAGCGCAACTTAGAAGAATATAAAGAACATGCAGAATTATCTGGCCGTTTAAAGACTCGAGCGATCATTATAGTGCGTATGAGTATTAAAATCGAAGAGATATCGCGCGTAACAGAAGAAATATTCCAGCGTTATTTATATTTTTATATTTAGCGTACAGTAGAAAAGTCGTGTTAATTGTCAATTCGTGGACGATGTGAAACAAGAAAGAAGGTATGTAACAAATACATTTATGTGCGTGTTTGGATCTCTATGTCCCTTGGAGTAAATATCGAAAGTGAATATTTCACATAAATTACTTCACGTTACTTCCATACAGCAAGATCTCGTTTTATTATTACATTATAAACTTCAGTATGTTACTGTATTAATGTCTGCACTGTAATAAATAACAAATCGGAAGTCATTTTTACAATTGACCTACTTCGCTCTCTTTGGAAAAATATGATTTGGAAAAATACATTTCGCAGAAGAAGAAGAAGAAGAAGAATATAATATCAAGTAGAAATATAGAAAAGGAATTTAGTTATATTTCAATATTCGGTATATTTCAATTTGAAATGTACTTTAATTTTAGATGTACATTTTCAGCAGATGTTACTATTAAAAAAAAAAAAAAAAAAAAAAAAAAAAAAAAAAAAAAAAAAAAAAATTACTCCTGTATTTATAGAATCATGCAAATATTACTTTTTGATAGCTTTGGAATAATTTTAATAAAAATTTTACGAAACATTATAAATTGAATTTGTTATACGTTTAAAATTACAAAAGCAATGTCGTGTAAAATAATGCCTACACAATCTCCAAACGCAGATTATAACTATTAATTAATAAAATTTGTATCAAATTACAAAAATCTTATAAACTACATTAACGCAAAAATTATAATTTATCGCGCCATAGTTTATTAATTTGCGACTCGACCAAAGAGAGAGTAGATTACACGAATAATATTCGCTTCTTTAAAAGCTCCGATGTTTACTCGTCTAAGATATCTAATCAACTGCATTCTCGTTCGATTGCCCACCATATTTTTCTATTTTTACATTAATCTTTTCGATCGACACTATAAACACGTAAATCGTAAGCATAAATCCTCTTATCGCGTGCTTCCCAATTTTACACATTTCAAAAACTGGACCCGATCTTATTAAAATTATTCGCATGTTTCGATATCTCGTGCGACGAAATGCCACATCAGTTGCCATGTTTTTCAATGCGCCAGAAAGCCCATTAAAATTTATCTCAATTATTTGCTATTCTTATCGTCTACTTAATACATCACGCTTGATTAAACTGATACTAATCTCTCTAATAGTCTCTCCGCCTTATTAATTTATGGATTTTAGCAGGTTTGTTAACTTTGTCGAATAGTTTATTATTGGAATTTTCTTGTCTTTTGTCCAAGTTAACGTAAGGATTTCTATATTACCAATTGAATAATAAAATAAATACTTTTAAATAGTCGATATTGATTATAGAAAAAAAAAATAATAATAATAAATAAATAAAATACAGCATAGTATTTTTTATCAAAGATTATTCGTTATATTAGGAGCAAACATTGAGAAAGTAATAATTTTCACTAAACATTTGAGTGATTTAATTTTCATAATAAAAATTTAATAATAATTGTTAACAAATAGTGCCCAGTAATAGACAGTTGAATATTACATATTTTAGTACGCGTTTGAAAAAGTGGATGATTACGCGGGTCATTTTCCTTTAAAAATTATACTAACCATTACACGTATCGTGCATCTCAGAAGCGATCATCTCAATCACAAATTTCAAATAATTTAGCTTAAATTTCTTGAATTATTCTTATTCTGAGCTCAGGCTGTGATAAATTCATAGATTATGATCTACATTGCATTCTTTAATCACGAAGTATCGAAGATTTTGAACAGACCAATTGTAAAAATGATGCAAAATATTTTACAATTATCACGTCGTAGGTATTCTAGGTGAAATTCATATATTTTGTAAGAATTTTGAAAATACATTTCGTACAAGTCAGAATTATTGCTGTACATTCATAAAAATATCAGGATATGTAATAGCGGATGAAATATTTTTGTTTTGATGAATGATAAAATTTGCCAACCTAAACGACAAAGATACGGATTTTTGTTTAGTACATAAAAGATCTTAGCAAACAGTTAAAAAGCATCGATAAAATCATTTATCATAAGTAAAATTAAATAAATTTTTAAAAATATTTCTTTATGATTTATAAATTGCATACGAAAATAATTACGAATATATATATATATATATATATATATATATATATATAAATGCATAAATATGAATATTTTCGAAGACTTTCAGGAAGGGAAAAGCCCAAAAAAAAAAGTAAAGAAGAAAAATTCTTTATAAATAACAAATCCTTATCGATAGTATACGCCACTGTAAATTAGCAGCTCCACTTTTTCTAGCGATGTATTAATGACTCCAAAAGAAAAGTATGTTTATAAAGCCAAATTATATATAATAACATATAAAAAATATAAGAAATAAATTTATTAAATGTAATATAGTTATTTTATATAAAGATAAATTAATGAAGTGTCTGTCACTGGGTTGATTTACACACTAACGTACATTTGCTACGAAGTTTATAAATGCACGTTAGGGCGATGCCACAACGCATACAGCGATTATAAAATTCATCCCAAGGCTAAAGAAATTTAATTCAACGAAGGACAACATTTTTTAAGAATTTTCAACATAATTCAAGAATTCGTGATTTGGGACGCACTTTTCTGCATAAAGTCTCGCCGATTTCTTGAAAGATGTAATTAAGGCAGAAGGTGATATTAGCCGACAAAGTGATTTCTTTAAATTAAACATAATGAACAAGATTTCTTAAGTTTTCTTAATTCGTCTTCGTTAAGTATTATAATCCATACGTTTTATAATATTTACTTTTAGCAAACGTAAATACTCGCACTGACTTAACTAAATTATTAATTATTAAATAACTGATAATTAAATCAATAGAGCCGCCAGTTTCCCGAATACATACGATTTATTATAATTTTCTTATCTTTTCGTCATACTGGATGATTGGTAAGCTTGAGTTAGAAGCTATGACGAGCATAATATACATATTAGCGATTAATGAATTGACAGAACAAGAAACCAAAGGCTTTACCCGAGTTAATTTTCGATTAAATTTCACTAATAGATCGTTAACTGAAACAAGTCAATACCACATGCAGAGAGATTAACGTACATCGGTATATTTAACAAAATAAAAGATCTCTTGATCAGCATTGACGTGTATTATATTACACAAATACACTAAGGTGTATATGTACATGCTCTTGATGTATTTGCAGTCAAACAGTCATTGTATTTTACTAATACGTCTTGTACCGCAAAGTATAATTTTATGCGTTAAACAGTAAAAAATCAACTAGATATAGGTACATTTTGCAAACTGTATTACGTACTTTGTTTCTTAAATAATTTTCATTAATTGTGTTTTATCATTGATAAACGATGATCGTAATGCATTTGATATTTAAAGAAAAACTACACAGAGCATTTAAATTTATGTAAAAAAAGTCATGTATGGGTACTGATTCCAAGTGCTAATTGGTCCAGTTCTTGAATAAATAAATATAGTGCTTCTTTCAAAGTCATCTTGCTTGCATGCTTATATCTCTAGATGAAGTATCCAAGAAAGAAATGAAGTCGATAAATTATTATATATATAATTAAAAAAATCGTCAAAATGTATAAGAATTTCAGATATAAAATGCTAACAGAGGAAAACTGAATAAGATAAAGATGTTCGGCAAAGGGCTTGCGAAATAACATATATGCTATTTTTATCATAAATACTAATATTATCATCGATATTATATTATTATGTTAATAATCAACGCTAAGTTTTTAAGAAACATGTATTATTATAAACATTCTTCTTAGATGACTATAGCTCTTTTTTGCGTATAATCATTATTGCAATCAGTACATTAATATTGTAATAGTTTAATAATTTAGATTTATATTACTATTCAAAGCGTATGTATTATATTTTTTATTTAATGCGTAACTTAATAAAATTATTACACTACAATACAATAGATCATTATAAATAATTTTAAGTTGCAATTAAAATTTATTTTATTAACAAATATCTTATTGAAATGTAAAATCTTTAAAAATAATATAATAATAAAAACTAATATATGCGCAAAGAAGGGCCAATATGGCTTAATAACTAATCTGATTATCTTCATACTACAATCAGAATTACAGATAATTAATGATTAATTATTTTATTCAATAATATTGTAAACAATCGAGCTTATGTGAAATTTCATATGAGAAAAAGACGCGCGATAATAATGCTTTTAACCCTCCGACATTTTCTCTGATCACGTGGTAAATTAGTTTTTCATTTACATAAAGTAACTTCCATTCATGCACGATAAAAATCTGCACAATAGTTATTTAAAAAAACATGCACCACACATGCACTTTATAAAGCATTATTTACTATATATCAAGTATAACGAAATAATGCGAATCTTTCTTTTCTTAAAATATCATAATGAAACTAACAAATTTAATAGTTTCGCCCACTAATCTAGTCGATGCTAATTGAATGATTTAGCGATCATAACAATTATATAATTTATATGATGCGTAACGTTGTAAGATTTCAAATTTGAACATTCCTATTTGTTAAATTATATTATGGTATAGCGAAGAAGTTATATATGAATTTTAATTTTGCCCTCGTATACTCTTACAAAAGTTATGTAAATATGTATATAAAATAATTATACTTTTAATGATATTTCCGAATTCCTTAATAAAATACTTTCAATTACCTGATATATTGCGTATAATATTTTAATACTTATTCCGAAACCATTCCATAATGAATACTTACATACACACACGCGCACGCACACGTATATACACACACACATATATATATATATATATATATATATATATATCGTTAGCATTAGTAAAAAAATGAATAAAAATTAAGAAATTACTATGATTTGAATTCAGTGAATTAGGGGCAGTAAAATTCATTGAAAATAATTATACAATAAAGTTCAAAATCTTATTTTAACATTTAATAATAGTATTTTTTCTTTTATTATTTATTTAAAAACTTTAAAAACATTTATTTAACTTTAACACATATTAATTTGATTTGTATAAAATACTTAATTATAATTATAAGTTTCTTAATTGAAAATATTTATCGATTATTTAATCCATGTATAATTCTTTGTTACTTAATTCATTATTACTAAATAATTGTGGTTTCCAAAAATATATTAGATATATACGTTTCTAATACCATCAACAATAACTTTTAGTTTTGGATTATTTAATACGCACTCCACTTATTAAAGGTCAAGTAAAATTAATTTTACATATTAAAATACTGACAAAATCTACAAAGTATTGATGCAAAATGAAAATTGTCAAATCACACGCATCAATATCTATTTTAATATACAATTTAAAGTCTTAATTATAAAATATTATAAAATCGTACTACAAAAATATTAGAATCTATACAATATTTGTAAAATATTTATGATACAACAATGAACATTAATTTACAAAAAGCTGTAAGTTTTTCAGTCATTGGTGTAATGTATTATGTCAATTATTAGTTAATGCTATAATGTTGTGGCATTAAAAAGACATCTATTAGTAAAGAAATTGTGTTTTTTTTTTACACTCTTATTAGACAGACTAGGAGCGAAGAATTTTGAAATTTTTATTTCACTTTCATCTTCATCTGGATCTTCCCACTCTACGGCGATAGCACTTGATTGAAGAAGTTTTTCGGCAGTAGACCAACTAAATCTAACAAGTTGTGGAAATCCAAATACTGGATCAATACTATTGGCAAGCCAAACTTTGGTAACAGGATCATTAGGATATCCACTCCCATATTCTTTGTCATTTTCACCTTCAAGAAATTGCCAAGCTCTTAATGCATGATCTCTAGAAACTTTAGCACAAATACTGGCAGCGCTGACTATTGGATATGTTGAATCAGCTTTTTTAGCTACTACAATTTTAATTCCAGGGAATAAATTAACTAATTTTGCTTGATACTTTTCAGGTTTTCCAACAGTATCGACATAAATTTCAGTAATAAAAACTCCAGCTTCTATGGTTTTTCTAATTAAGCCAATAGCAGAATTCATAGATATTTCATTCAGGGAAGTTTTAGTACGCTGATACATACAGTTAGCTATATAATTTGGTGAAATTGAATCAAAAGCCCATCCAAGTTTGTCATCATTATTACACATTTTATCAAATATTGCATCTCTTTTCTCTTCGGTTAAAGTTTTGGAATCTGCACATCCCAAATCTTCTAATAGTTGTTTCTGTGATAATGGAGCATATGCAATTCCATATACCATTGGTCCTAATACAGGACCACGTCCAGCTTCGTCTACTCCCAATTGACAAGGTTCATCTTTACAAATTTGTGGCACCTAATTACATACATAAATAACAAATAGTAATTAAATTTTATGTAATTCATTATGACTCTAGCAACAATTATTATTATATTATAATTATTAAGAATTTCTATCGATAAATACCTTTGACTGATGTACTTGATTGACGCTGTGATCGCGTTTTGAAAAATATGTTGTCAAATCATCTCTTTTTGTTATAAAGTTTTTCTCTATTATATCGTTCGTAGACAATCTATCAATTACATTATCAACTAATACTTCATTTTCTTTATCCATTTCTATTATTTTAAATATGACAAAATACTATTTTTATAATTGAACCAAATGAATGGTCAGATCATAAGTATAAAAGTGATAATTCCAACACGTAACCTAAAAGTATATAAGCAGTCATAATAAAATTTCCCGCCAATTTAGGACAAATTATTATGTGCAGGCATATTAATTTCCTGATAGAGTGACAAACTATTTAAAACAAATTAGTAATGGGAAAAAATTTTACTTACATAGTTGAATTTTAATAACAGCTGATGGAATAATATATTTTAAACAAATATTATAAATAAATTTATAATTGAATAATAGTATGTTTTTCTATTTCTAAATGTCTAAATTATGGTTAAAGTGAACACATTAAGGATTAAAATATTATTTACCAATTCTTAGACAACAAAAAAATAAGAAATTCCAATAACTTGTGAATATAATTTATTTATTATTTGTATAGTACATATAAGACACAAACATAATTTGGTCTACAAATTTAAGTTCAATTAGTTTATTAATATTTAAAAGCTAAAATCTATGCTGCACTTTCACTTTACAGATCTTTATAATCTTCAAATTTAAAAATATAAATATCTATAATACCCGTTAAAAATTTTATAACAAAATGCACTAACTTTATAGTCACATTTATAATTTTTTTTTTTTTTTTGCTCCTAATCTCCTCGTACTACATACAAGACTTTAAAAGTAATCGTTATATCAAGAATTGAGAAATTTTTTCTGTTTTTCATATTTTTCAAAGTCTATTATACGAAATTGATGAGTAGAACTTACAACTATTATTATAGAACCCGCATATTTGAAGTCTGTATGCTCTTTAGCACATTTTCTTTGAATGTGTGTATTCAGGAAAACAGACCATTTTTAAATATTAATAAATTATAAATACAATAGATTTACCCATTCACCACTACATTGTCGACGAATGCTTGAGCTATAAAGATTCTGATCGAGCACTTATGTCTCTATATTATAACAATATGAATTTTCAATTTAACCATATTGTTACTCCATACTATGACATCACGCAAAGTACATTTTGTACTACGATTATAGTTATTAGTATGTAGTATAGTATAGTAATTAAAATTAATAATAGTATTGATATGATTCTCTATACTGTGTGAGTTTTTATACAATGTCTGAGCATTGCAACCTTTTATGAATTAGGATAACTAAGAACGGGTCACTATAGTTCAAAGTCAGCTTCGATGTTATTTTGAGGGCGACTTGCGCTGCACATCCACATTTTGTCCTGCTGTCAGTGGGTAATACTCAAAGTAATAGTGCAATAATGCAAACTTCAACATTGACTACCAAACAATTATAAAATGGCTAATGTCTCATTTCAAAACATTTGTAAAAAATTTTTAGCGAGTCGCCAACAAGGCTCATAGTTGCTACAAGTGAAGCATTCGATTAAATTGATCTTGACAGAGTAACTTCATTATCTGAAACACAATCATAAGGTAAATATATTTTAACAGTATCATTTCCGCTTAATAAATTTATAATTTGAGTTATATTAAAATTTATGAATGTACATTTAATTAGCAATGCTTGTTTAGAAAAAATTTATTTATGTATATAAAGTCCTGAAATATATATTATTATATTCTTATTTATGCAAGCTTAGATGTTGAAGAAAAATAATAAAAAACCATGGAAAGTAACGCAGTCCATAACAACAGGCAACGACATTATGATATATTTTTTTAAATATATCATAGTTTATAACAGCAATTACAATATAAAATATGAAAGTAATTAAGATAAGCAAATCTCATATTATGTCTTTGTCTACAATAAATATACGTGCTATCAACTAAGATTAAGCCTTAGAAATACATCTTTAATGTCGGCATATAAAACATTGTTTAGTTATCTGAACAATGTTTATTTTGATTATCTGATAAATTTAAAAAAACATGTATCTAGTGCCAAAGCTATAATCTCTGGCATTTTTAGTAATTCAGAAATATAGATCAAAGCTTACATAAAATTTATGTAGTAATAATAAGTTGCAATAACGGATAATCATAACAGATAAATTCAATGACATATATGTAGATTCTCATCGAATAATCAAACTTTTATACAGAAAGTAATATAAAATAGAAAAAAAATTAAATAATGCATATGTAAATTATTACAAAGAAGTTAATATAAAACAATAAAAACTGAAGTTATCGTTAATATAAATAGAGTCACTCTTAGACCTAACAATGACAAAGATAATATTGTATATCGTCGTTGCAGTTGTTTGTTAGTTGGATATGTTTGTAAATTAATGTTATTACCCAGTTCGACGAACTTTAAAAGAACAAATATATATTTATAAAACCATGTTCGGCGCTTTCTTTTACCATCTTAGCGCTAATGATTAGTAAAAAAAAAAGAAAGAAAGAAAAAAAAAAGGACAATAAAATATATTCTTCATACCGGCTACATTAAGTCAATTAATCACCACGAGAACGTGCATCGATAAATTTATGTTAAGATTCTCTATCGAAACGTAACAACACAATCAAACACTACGATAATGAATTAAAATTCTACATACGTAACCTGCAACACAGGCAACATAGCCACATACTTAATTCAATAGCGGTACAATCATAGAATCATTGTTTAATGCAACAAAATCGTCTTTCACGGCTCATAGAAGTAACAACACTCTATTTAACGTTAAAAATGAAATAATAATAATAATAATAATAGCAATACGACATTCGCAGATTTTATTCTAATTAGGAAGCGATAAGGTACATCGAATTTCTCCGTAAATAGCGACTTGAACTCAACTAATGAACTGCTGTATCGCGTCAAACCAAATATGATTATTCGCTATATTCTACACGTGGTTAGAAAGAGATGGATAAACGGGAGAGCCACTCTCTTCCATTTAATATCATTTCATTCTACCACACCATCTTCCATTATTCATCTCGTTAACTCTGAAAGGCTGAAGAAGGTGAGATTACTCCAGACCGCAGCAGCCCTCGACATTTCTCCAATCGCAAAATTATTTTTTACTCGCAATCTAATGCGACCATCAGACGGTTTATTACACGTACAGGCCTCCCCTAACGGCTTTCGGATAAGAATTTATTCGACCCCCGGGCTTCCAAAGCAGCGCATAGGATTTAAATTTTGTCCCCGTCCCGGGGGTGGGGGAGGCAGAATCGTCTCGTACCGAAATCGTCTCGTATTTACTATTTAGCGCTTGTGCTTGAGAATGATGTCAGTGAGGATTTGGAATTAGGCTACTGACGGTGGTGCCTCGCATGAGCTCTTATCAAGGTGACTTATTTATTTATTTTTTTTTTAATTTCAAATCATCATACGGATATGGCGAATTGTGAAGAAAATTGCGTTAATTAGCAGTCGATGATTATCAGTGAAAAGTATTTAATAAACAAGGCGGAAGGGAAGGCGAATTAATACATAGTATTTACCAATCAAAATCAAAATCAGTAAAAATAAAATGAAAAATAAAGTTGATGTGGAATTTATTATACGAATGATTTTATATTCATTTTATTCGAATGAATAAGAAGGGCACGCGTGACTTATTATGTAAAAAAAAAAAAAAAGATAAATAAATACCCATACATCTCTTTTAAATAATTCAAATAATTCAATTTTTTCCCTTCATTGTTTAAAATTAAAAAATTAAAGTCGAATAAAAAGAAAAATAATAATAATAAAGTAGTAATTGATCATTGGGATTATATTGCAGACTTGTCTTTCAAAATTCCTTTTAACAATCACGTTAACTAAATTGGGTAATAACATTTTGTGATCGCGAATAATTGAGGATAAATATTTCCTTGCATGTATTGCAGAAGTATTATGTAAAAAAAAATTGGCTATCATTTTAAATTCGAGCCTTTATACAAATACATATGCAATTATAAAAATTATAATATACCTTTCCTTTTTATAATGTCAGAAATGTTGTCAGTATGTATTAGGCAATGTTTTTGGGAGTATTCTTGCGTAACTTCTAAAAAGTAAATTTTTAATTTAATAATGACATGAAAAGTTGTTCTGCTTCTGAATTTAGAATCAAGAAAAAGAATTTAAAAACTCATCAGAATCGAAGTATTTTTTTTTTTTTTTTTTTAATTGAAAAAATATTATAAAAATCAGTAATAAAAAATTTCATGTAGAAATTAAAAAAAAAAAAAAATTAAAATTAAAATTAAAATTTTACTGAGGAATAAGATATAATAAAAAAAAAAATACATATATTAATAATAAACATAATGGTGCAGAGGAATGAAAACGGTCGATAAATCTCAAATTTGAACAATTTCACAATCCAATACTGTCGATAAACAATATTGTAAATTAATTATACATGTAAATTATTTATATTTTATCATATAGAAATATTAATAATTAATGTTCTTTGAAAACGAGCCCCAACAGACTATAATTCATAATGTACAATTTATAGACGAAAATTGTAAATAATATTTATAAATGCATTTAATTATAGAAATTTAAAAGTACTTTTTAAAATTATTATTAACTCCAGCAAAAACTTCAAAGCCGATCCCGAAACAAATACAACAAAAAATACAAAATAAAAATAAAGAATTAAGGATGACTACATTGTCTTTTAATAATATAATAAATTCGTTAATTTACTTCACTTGATTTAAAATTAATTTCAATAATAATAGCTGTGAAGAATATGTCAGGTTACATTGTGACATTAAAAACGAAATGAAAAACTAATTACAACTTTACCGAATCGCCGTAAATTTGTGAGGAGTGAAAAACATGTAATTACAGATTCTCAATTTGTCGTACTGTTGAATTGACTTGAGCGTGCGTGCGCGGATGCACGAAAGCCAAAGAGCGTGTGTACGAGTGTGGCATGTGTGTATGCCCGCGAGTATGGCATGCGCGGTAGTTGGGTAATAGTTGTAGTAGAACCAAATAACTATATTATTTGTAAGTTTAATGGTGAAAATCCTATTGGAAGATCCTTGCGCACAATTTTGATGAATTAGTAGGGCACTTCAAAGAAATACCTTACCGAGGGTCCTCATCCTCGACCGTCGAGAACGGATTATACGCGCGCAAAGTGCAGGAAGCCGTGCCATGTCCATGTCCTAAAGAAATATCAAGCACCGAAATAAAGTGAAGAGATATTATAAACCCTGGGTGAGGGTAGGGGGGATGGGGTTGGTTTGGGAGGGGGGGGGGGAGAAGGATTACGGATTCAAAGCTCTCGATGCGAGATGCGAGAGAAATGTTCGCGAGATGAGGTGAATTAGCGCGTAGATGCGATGGAATCATATGTGGGTCGTCGACTGTTGAGGTGGAATAGGAGGAGGGATTTGGGGTGGAGGAAAGCGACAATTGATCGCGACACCGTGAAAGAGGCCTTGAAGGAGCCGAGTGTTTGAGACAGTTGTGAGACGAAATAATTAAAATAGAAGAAAAAACATATGTTGGGAGAGCGTGGTTACGGCATGAAAGATTTCGATAGAGTCCAGGATGAATTTGACGATAGACCGTCACGATTAGCCGATCTGCCGTGTGAAGAAGGGTTAAATAGCGTGAGGGCGGGGGGGGGGGGGGGGGGGGGGGGAGCGAGAGAAGTAGAAGCGATTATTAATCCACCAGAAGATAATTTACAGGATTATCGCTAAAATCGTAAAGAAATTCTAGGCTCCATTGAAGAAGGTTCTCCTCGACCCCGAGACAACGAATTGAGTGAATTTTTATTAAAAAGGTCTCGCGGCATAAGTCGCCAGAGTGTCGCCGAGAGAGATTGGAGTTGGAGATTGTTAACGGTTAAGTTCGAAGATTGAGCATAAGGCAAAGCAATAAGCATCGATTCGCGAGGATGGAAGTTCCCCCGTAAGAGAGTAATTATCGAGTCTCGAGCCCCGTATGTGCGCTCTTAAATCAGACAAACGCGTCACTTGCTCGTTTATGCGTAGCTGCATTTGCAAACAGTGAAATACGAATGAGAAACTATAGTTAATTGTTATTGGCGCGTTTTCTTATTCCGACCAATGTTGTTCCCATAATACAGCGAACATAAAGCCAAGTCGCAAAAGTCGTTAGCGTCACTTAAGTAAACCTCGTGCGCGAAATGAAATAAGCTGCTGTAAGATTTTCATTTTACGATTTCTCAGATAAAATATACATATGTAAAATCGTTCATTTTGCATTGTTTTATTTTATTTTCTTCCCGTGTAGATAATATTAGCGAGGGACTATGTATTACGCTTGCTCATTATTGTCCCGTTGAAAAAGCATATTTTACGTTTGCTTAATAATAAATCTTGACGCGTCAAGTGTAAATACCATAAAATTTGAAAGCGCTATGAAATTATATGGCTGATGGTCACGATTAATGGATAAGAAATATCGAATGTTGCTTCACAGTGGCATACACACAGGCGCACGCGCAACAACACAAACAAAAACGCACATACGCGCAAATGAAAATAGTTTATAGTATTGCGAAAGAATTGCATTTTTAATAATGAAAATTAAAGACATAATTTGACAATAATTTATAAAATATATATAAAATAAATTTCAAATATTAAAAATAATATATAATTGATGTGAATGCATGTGCAAATAATTATTTTACATTACGCACACATTGCAACATTAATTTTAAATGATAAAGGAATAAGAAAGATATGAAACGATACACGCGTAGGGCATACCTGATGATAATGATCATTTTAGTCGTGAAAATAATCGTGAAAATAATGCTTAAAGAACATTGAAGACAATTTGTTGATGTATTGGGTAGCGCCTGCTGCATGCCTTCGACTTCTAATAACGAAACATACAGGCTTCGGGTCAACAAATGTTCACGGCACATAAATATTTTACCTTACGGTCATCTTATGTATGTGCATAAGAAGCGTAGAGGTTAGAAATCGATATTATTCGCAATTGTGATATTAACCGAAGATGAATAATTTCGGTCGAGATTAAAAGTTATAAAATAAGGAGAGCAAGCTTCTACGAATTGATAGGAGGGGATGATTAGATTATTCTCTATAAATTTCAGTGAATAAGATTACTTTTAAAACTTGTATACGCATATAGTTCAATGAGCGAATACCTCTCGCTTAATGAACGATATTATTGATTTTAAAAAATTCCAACAGTTCCATTTGAGTTTCAAGCTTTGAGAATTTCGGGTATGTACGTATTTTCTGACTTATTCGCCCTTTCATAATAATTTCATGTTAATTTCAACGTCGCCATTCGTTAAAAACGTTCTTTTTTAATTTAAGCGTATCACTATCGCCAATCGATTTCGTAATAACATGAATGACATCGATACCTTTCTTGCATGTTACATCAGTAAAAAAAAAAAAATATTCCATTAGAATTATTGATATAGCTTATAAAATTCTGAGAAATTTCTTTAGGATTACTTTCAAACTGGCTGTCCCCATAGTGCTCCGCTTAAATAAATTAATTGTTCATTCATTAAGTTAGAAATAATTATATTAATTTAATATGCTAGTATAAGCCATGAAGACAGAATGAGGAATATAAGCTAATATAAGCTAGGTCGTGATACAATTTTAATAAAAATTTCCATTCAAAAGACTTATGATTTGTAAGGTAAGTGACAAGTATTCAAACGATACAAATAAATTAATGTCTATTTCTTATTTTTTTCATTTCTTAGGCATTTGAAAAATTGTTCTTACATACATTATTAAATAAATTTAACTTAAACAAAAATTTATGAACAATAATAGAGAACTGCATTATTATATTATTAGAGTTGAATTGAAACATAATTTATTTGCATAACTGACGTTCTGTTTTAATAATCAATTTAAATATTAAATCAATGACATTTGTATGGGCTTAAAGCCGTACACACCTACCATGATTAAATATTGTAGAAATTTAAATTTAAACGGCTAGATTTAAACATGAGTCAACTGTTAAATGCCCAAAAAAAAAAAAGATTAATCTACATAATGAGTATATTAAATATCATGTATTACCATTATAAGAGTAGAAATATTTTTTTAATATATTTCAAAACATATAGTACAAAATTCACTACGAACTATGATTTATAATATTAGCTATTATAAACTTTAACTCGTGCCATTCGTGTAAATTGTGTAAATTTTGTCAAAATATTGTGAAAGTATAAAGTGCACTGTGTACATAGATAATTTCTATCATATTTTATATTAAAATATTTTTTTAATATCAATCGTTCAACTAAAATTTTTATAATTGAAATTTTATACGTATAATATTAATATCCTACAAAATACTTTGTAACAAAAATTTTATAGAATTATAAATTTTGTGTCACTGATTATTTAATAGCTTGAGCTCTTTTCCATCTTAGATATTTTTCATCGATCAAATGCACGTGAAACTTTGATTATGTTGTATTTTATTTAAATACAATTTTAAGTATTCCATCAATCTTGATGTAAATTAATTTATTTGCCTATAACATAAATAATATAGTTGAAACTATTTTTACAGCAAAATAGCGAAGATGGAAAGAACATTAGGATGGATTGATTACTTAGTCGTCATACTAACAATGGCCATAAGTGCGAGCATTGGCCTTTACTATAGATTTTCTGGAGGAAGACAAAAAACAACTCAGGTATTTTTATATTTAATACAACACATTATCAAAAATTACAAACTTATATACAATTTCTCTTTATATATGAACTATAATTTTTTGAAAAAAATAATTATTGTTCTAGGAATATTTTTCTGCCAATAAATCTATGAGTGTTATTCCAATTGGTATAGCGCTTATGGTGTCTTTTATGTCCGCAATTACATTACTTGGTCTATCCGCTGAAAATTATACTTATGGTACGCAATTTGTTGTTATTAACATAGCCTACTTAATAGGTACGCCTCTTATTTGTTATGGCTTTCTACCTATTTTTTTTAATCTTGGAGCAATAAGTGCATATGAGGTATAAACGATGTAAGATTTATTATAATATTAATATGAAGTAAGCGTCACATTAACATATCCATATAATTATAGTATTTAGAAAAGCGTTTCGGTTATGGAGCACGTTTAGCAGCTAGTTTTGCATCATGGATACAGCTACTATTATACTCAGGTGTAGTTTTATATGCACCAGCACTAGCCCTCGAAGCAACAACTGGCTTATCAAGAGTTCTGAGTATAGTTGTCGTTGGTCTAGTTTGTTCATTTTATTCTACTATAGGAGGAATTAAGGCTGTATTAATCACTGATGTTTTCCAAGCAATTTTAATGTTTGTATCGATGTTTATCGTCATTGGTACAGCTGCTTACAAAATTAATGGTATAGCAGAAATTTGGCAGATTGCGTCTGATGGTGGAAGAATTGAGTTTGATAAGTATGTATCATTCAATTATGTTTAAGAAATTAAATTCTGTTTTAAATTATGTTTCTAGCAATAATAATTTTTAAGATTTTACACAGTATTAAATGTCATTTTCAGTAAATCTCAATTTTCAGATTATTAATTAAATAATAAAACATAAAAAGTGTCAATTACTTTATAATAACTTAATTTTTTTTTTTTTTTTAAACTAACTTATTATATAATATATTCGAATTTAAATATATTTATATAAAACTTTAAATTGTTCTAAAGCTGTAAATACTGTAAAGCTGTAAATGTTTTATTATCTTTTAAATATAAAGCTATATTTTATAAAAAAAGATATTTAAAAAATAATATGATAATAATAAATTGAAAAATCATTATTAAAAATAATATTAATAAATTATTAACAAGTAATAATAATAATAATAATAATAATAATAATAATAATAATAATAATAATAATAATAATGTAATACATTGGCATATCATATTTAATATAATATATTTAATTAATATATAAATTTTTTAGTATATCACTTGATCCAACGATTCGCCATACATGGTGGGGTCTCATTATTGGAGGTTTATTCACCTTTCTTTCACTTTATGCCGTAAATCAAGTACAAGTGCAGCGTATGATGACTTTAAGGTGAATAATATAGATAATCGTTATTCTTGTATTCTGTTATTTTATTATTATATATGTATGTATATATATATATATATATATATATATATATATATATATATAAAATCTTGAACATACATTCAATATTGAAATAAAAAAATTTTTTATTATTCAGAAATTTGAAATCGGCAAGATCTGCTTTATGGCTAAACCTGCCAATTTTGACTGTACTTTCTGTAACAACATGCTTTTCGGGTTTAGCACTATACAGTCATTATCGTAATTGTGATCCCATAAGAAGTGGTAGAATATCATCACCTGATATGTTGTTGCCACTTTACGTAATGGACGAATTATCAAATTTTCCAGGAATTCCTGGTTTATTTATAGCTGGTGAGCTTTTTAAAATCAATATATATATATATATATATATACATATTTTTAAATAAATATCTATACTGTCAATAATTATTATTTTCTTAAAACTTAATAATAATTTTAATTTTTTTTTTATAGTAAATTAATGTTTACATTGTTTTATATTAAAAATTATTTTATGAAAATATGAAAATAATACTCAATATCTGCATATAAGAAATATATTTATATTTTTTAAATTTTAGGAATTTTTAGTGCTGGTTTAAGTACAATATCCGCTGGTTTAAACTCTTTAGCAGCTGTTACATTAGAAGATTTCATAAAACCTATATATATAAAATATACAGGAAATGAATTTCCAGAAACTAAATCAATAATTTTAAGTAAATTGTTGGTACTTTCTTTTGGAATTACTTGTCTTGCATTAGCTTTCGCTGCACAACTATTGGGCGGTGTATTACAGGTATTTTCATATATTTAAGAAATTGCTTTAAAAATTGAGTTACGTTAATTTTTGTTTTGGTTGTTGTTGTCACAAATAAAAAGTCGACGACAATTTATATTTTATAAAAATATATATTAATTTGTATATATTATTTAATTTTATATTATATTCAATTCTATACATTGAATAAAAATAACATATCTGTTACATATAAAATATATTACATATATTACATGATTTCAATCTAAAATAGTCTCTTATTTGTCCAAGTATATTCTATTTTATTAATACTTTCTAAAATCACTAAAATAACAATTTTATTTTTATTTTATTATAGGCGAGTTTAACAATTTTTGGAGTTATCGGTGGCCCGTTACTTGGAATTTTTACACTAGGAATGTTATTCGAATCTACTAATCAAATTGGTGCTATTACTGGAATTATTTCTTCAACTGCAATTATGCTATGGATTGCTTTTGGGCAACCAAAGCCAAGATCTCAACCTTTACCAGTATCTGTTGAAGGCTGTAATACAACATTTTCGATGTATTCTAGTTTAAATTCATCTCTTTCAGCTAAAGAATCTGTCATACTACCATCGTATGTTTTATTTATATATAAAATCACCCATTTTTAGTTTTTAAGTAATTATTATTTTGAAGTACCTAAAGTTTATCTATAAATTGTTTACAGTATATATTTTATACGCATAAGAAAGAAATTAAATTAATTCATACTTATGAATAATTTTATTTTTAACAGATAGTTGTTGTTAAAATATTGTGTCAATGGATTTGAACAGTTTATTTAAACAATCTATTCGTTGGCATATTACTATAATTTTTTCTTTTAATTTGACAATTTGTATACAATAAAGATAAAATTCTTTTATAAAATTTTAAATATTACTTAAATTATTTTGTATAAATAATTATGTATGCCTTTAATATGTTATAGTATTTATAATTTTTAAATATTTATAGTATTTTTTAGTAATTTAGAATAAAACATTCAATTTATTTAAGTAATAATAATTTTTAATAATTGGAATACATAATGATTATATTAATATATTTTTTTAGGAATGATTCTTCCTATTTTTATTTATACCGTATTTCGTACATATGGTATAGTGCAATTGGTTTCATGATTACAATAATAATTGGAATTGTAACAAGCTATATATCTCGTTTATTATATAATAATCATAATGATCGATTGGATCCAGATTTATTTTTTCCAATTGTTGCTAAATTCATAAGGCAACGAAGGCAGTGTCAAACAGAAATGAATGGAAATTTAATGACACAAGGATTGTATGTTTTCAAAAGTAAATATAAACATTCTGAAAAAGAGAAAGAGCAAAACAGTCATTTATAGTTTTGAACTTTAAACCGATTGTATGATTATGTTATAAAATTATTTAATATGAACAGGATTTTCTGTAAATTAAATAATATAAGTTATCATTTTTCAAAGAATATATTTTTTAATAATGGATTATAAGTTTTTGTTTTGAGTAACATTTGATAATTTATCAAATGGATTTAGTTAATTTTAATAATTATAAAATTTTACATCCAAATTTCATCAATGTTAAACATTTCATAAATATAAACAGTAATATAAATCATATTGATTAAAAAAAAGAATTACATTTATAAAAGTCACTTATCATATACAGTTCAAAAAACTGAAAATGTAAAATGTAAAAGTTAGAAATATTGTTCGTGATAATAACAATATAAAGAAAAATACTTAATCTATATTATATTTGAATGTTTACTATTTTAATAAAAATAAGTTTAAAGATTTTTTAAAAATTTATTTATATTCTAGTATATTACAATTGATCTTATAAAATTACTTATATATCTCAATACTTAATGCTTGTCATCTATTTCATAAACATATAAATTTATTGTTACTTAAAAATATGAATTATTCTGTTATTATTTATTATTTTATACTTTATATTTTACTTTATTGTTCGTTATATTTAAATCAAATTATCAATTTATCGATATGTATTAGACTGTAATTAGATGTATCTTAAAAAATGTTTATAAATGTTTATAAATGTTGAAATATTTTAATATATTGTTGGATGATTGAAACGATTTTAATTAATTTTTGTTAATAAATGAAATGTGATTTATGAAGTGTAAGATGTATTTATAAAATATTATATTATTTTATATTATCAATGTTGTCGATGAATCAATTGTATATTTTTTATAACACGTATAAAAATGTAACAGAGATAAAAATCATTTATTAAAAAATTTGATGTTAATTTTTCTTTATTTCTTTATTAATTTACCTGCCGACTAAATAAAAATTTAGAACAATCTGAAATTTTATTTCATATAAAATACGATTAAGAAGCACTTTTCCTTATTTTTATTAGTATATTATTAATAATTAAAAAGTAATTAAATTAATTTATTAATAATTAAACAGTTTTAAAAAACATAAACTAAAGGAACTATGCCATATGACTGAAAAATATTTTGTTTGATGTGGGAATTAACGAAATCAATATGAATTATAATTAATTTAATTTTTAAATTAATAAAACATATAAAATATATTTTTAAATATTAACATCGCTAGATAATGGATGAAAAAAGTAAATAATACAATAATTTTAATTAGAATTATTCGAATAATAATAAATAATATATATTGTAAATACAATAAAATATTTAACCAAAACTAATGTGTTGGCATAACATTTTCGTGATTTATGCAAGTGTTACAGAATAAAATGAATAAGATAAAAATATTTGTGTAAGTTTTGAATTTTTGTAGCTACACAGTCCAGTAATCCTTTGTATTCTATGATATCAGGAGCTAATAATTTTTTTTTTTTTTTTTCAATAACTTCATAGATTAGGAATGTACTACAAAATACTCACATATAAATATAATTTATCAACGGATATGTATATATATTATGTAGCAAATATTTAAATACACTAATATAATAATAATTATTAATTCAATTTTATCTTAAAGGATTTTTAATTTTGACAAAAAATGTTCACCTTAAAATATCTATTTCCTCTAACTATTCTACTCTATCCTATTAATAATGATAATTTACCTTATAAGTAAATTAACCATATTGGTTATTTGGAAAATATTATTAAGAGTTGTTGGGAAAAAGTCATATAAAAATATTCCTTAAAAAGATTGTGTTATTTAAACAAGAACGATTAATTTATATACATTCTGAAAATTTTCCCGTAGAAGCAATATTTAAAAATAGATATTGTGTTGTGTTTACCATTTTCGAATCAATTTGGTAAAAATTTTTGTGATCGTTAGCTCTTTAATATGGCTTAATCACTTAGATTTTATTTCATAAAAGCATACAACTTTATCTATAATAAATAAATTTATTAATTCTATTGACGAATCCAAGAATATTACGGCTATTTTAATAAGACATTTCTGGAACAGAAAAATATTTACCCAATTCTTAATAGAATTAACATTTTAATACACGCGTACGTAGTAATACGCGTTGTTAAAGGATTTTGAGATAATGTTTCCGTGGTAATTATAACAATTTAAACCATTTAAAACATTTACTCAATGTTATAGAAATAACGACGAGGAATCATCGGTTTACTTTTATCTTTAACGAATCTCATACACATGGTTCAGCGTAATTGTTTCTATCGAGACTTTCGTGTTTAAGTTAATTTCTAGCTATTTATGCGCGTCATCTTTGTCAATGATGATAATCAATTATTTGTTCCGATCTATTTCTTTTTCGCAAAGTGCGAAGTACGTTCATCAAGAATTAGTCGGATTTATCTAATTATAATAGAAAATTGAATGGAAAGCAGCCTAGTGCTAATCTTTAGAGATACTAATGTTCTGTTATACACGCGTACGCTTACATGCACACACATGCACGCACGCACGCACGCACGCACGCACGCACGCACACGCACAAAATCCTTTAGTTGTATAAGAGTAGATTATTCGATGGAACATTATATATGAATTTTTGTAAAAAAAATCTGACCATAAAAATAACATGATAGTGTACTGATTTTTATTTTTCCTTAAATTTTTGGTATATTTGTGTAATGATATGAGATCGAGTGGATCAATGTTTTATTCCATTATAAAAATAAAACAGATTTTTTAAAATATCGTTTTTTGTGACAGTGTTGTGTGAAAAGTTGTAATAATAAATGCTCGTATATCATTAAATTAACTAGTGAAATAACGCTTTAGGTTAATAATTAGCAGTAATCAGACTATAATCGACAAATATAACAAATATTTATACAATTTCATTCAATAGAGATATAATTAAAAAAATCAAATTAAAAATCAAATTCTTATATCTCCTGTACAGTATTGTCTTTTATTTAGTACTGTGATACATAAAGTAATAAAAGTCAAATAAATAAATATAGTAGCATTCCTATCCACATGCATTAATTACATACAATATTCATTTATTTATTTATTCATTAATTTGTGCATATTTATAATATTTTCTTTATGAATTCAATTAGTCATAATCACAAAATAATTTATAGCTATTTAATATATCAATAAATTACTATCGATAATATAAAATCTTTTAATGCACGAACTACTTTATTATTTAAAATTTACATTAATAGTTAAGTAAATCTTCCCTTTATTCAAATAAAGAAATACAACATTATAAATTGCTATTTCTTAATATTTCTTAGAAAAAAAAAGGTGTTTACAAGCGGTCGCGTGCGTTCGCATACACAAAGTATTGTGTGCAATTACTTTCATATTATTTTAAGAATATTCAAAAATATTATATCAACTAATATACAAATTAGAAAAAATATCCATTTTATATTGTCTATACAATTATTGTAAAAATATAGGAACCAAAATTGAGATTAAAATATTAAAGTACAATATGCCTTAATAATGCAAAATCTGAACTTTATTAATAAAAAATCATTACAAAAGTACTTCGAATACAAATAAAGCATTAATATTTTTATATTATTGCATTGATATTTTTATTTAAAAATTACTGAAGTGTAATAAATGATATATCAATATATTATACCCACTGATTAAGGAATTGCGAAGGTCAAGATGCTGAAATATAAGTACTGAAAATTATAATGCATATATATATTGAAATCTCATTGTCTTTGATAATAATATGTTAAAGACATAATCGAACAAATTACCATCTAATAACTCAAATAAAACATACGTAATTCCTATAATGAAAAGTAATTTGTCTTTAATTGTTTAAATAATAATTTTATGAAATACTAATATTAGGACTAATAGAGTGTTATTTTTATATCTAAAGGAAAAAATTTGATTAATTAATCCCAGGACGATTGTTTATTCTATGCATTTTCACAATTGGTATTATTGAATTTTAGATTTAAACGGTTCTTATAAACATTAGGAAATTCAATACAACTTCGGTTATAAAAGTTAATTTCTAAATATTTCCACTCCATTAAATGAATATTAACAATGCGACTTGATTTAATAAGGAACTTATAATAGCATTATAATGGGAAATAATTGACACCACTAATTAACGCCAATGTTTCTCTCGCATAAAAGAATAATGAATGGGCGAGATGGTAACATCTCTATATGTTTATAATTTATATTTTTGGCAAGAATCCATGATTTTTGTATCCAGCAGTCGTATCAATCTATACAAATACCAATATGGATTACCTAAAATTCTACATTAAGCATTTTATGAAATCGGCAAATAAGCGAGTTTCTCCGTGTGATACGGTTCGTGTGTTACAGTGGAATAACCACGGGAGTACGGAAACTTAGAAAACCCGCCTTTGGTGAACAAATGAGCAGTCATTTGATAATCCGTGGATAAGCGCAGACCGAGGCGATGGTCAATAACTGTCAGTCCCGATAAGCATCGTGAGAAAAGCGTCGACACACGGTCCTAGAAGCAATTAAGCAATTAGGACGAAAAAGCGCGAGCACCGAGTTCATTAAGACTTGGCTCGTTCTTGCATGTACGAACAGCGACGCTTAAATTGTCGCGTTGGGTGTCGTCTATGCGGTATCAGTCCAGATCACGGCGACGTTCGCCAGTTAAAACCAGTTTCAATTAAAACTTAGTGCCTGTGGTTTGCGCACCAGTAACAGTTGTGCCACTCGCGTGCTCTCTCTCTCTCTCTCTCTCTCCCTCTCTCCCTCTCTCCCTCTCTCTCTCTCTCTCTCTCTCTCTCTCTCTCTCTCTCTCTCTATCTATCTATCTATCTCGGCTCTCTGTCTCTCGGCTCTCTCCTTCGCACTCCTTCGATCGTCTCTTCCTTTCCGCTACCATCAGATGTCTCGAAACGAAACGCGACATTTGTTGCCTACGTAACTCTTTATTTTCTCTGCGTTAGCGCCTGAGCTTCAGATGCCTCGG